TGCAAATGGTAATAATTCCTTTTTTTTTTTTTTTACAGCAGTGTAGTATTCCATTGTGTACATGAACGGTAGTTTTCTAATCCATTTGTCTGCTGATGGACACTTAGGCTACTTCCAAATCTTAGCTATGAATTGTGCTGCTATGAACATAGGAGTGCATATGTTGTTTCTGATTGGTGTTTCTGGTTTCTTGGGATATATTCCTAGAAGTGGAATTACTGGGCAAAATGGAAGTTCCATTTTTACTTTTTTGAGGAACCACCATACACTCCACAGTGGTTGCACAGTCTGCATTTCCACCAGCAGTGCACAAGGGTTCCTTTTTCTCCGTATCCTCTCCAGCACTTGTTGATTTGTTGACAATAGCCATTCTGACAGGTGTGAGATGGTACCACATTGTCATTTTGATTTGCACCTCTTGGATGATTAGTGACTTGGAGCATGTTTTCATATGTCTCTTGGCCTTCCTTATGTCTTCTTTTAAAAAGTGTCTATTTATGACCTTTGTCCATTTTTTGATTGGATTGTTTATCTTCCTTTTGTTAAGTTGTATGAGTTCCCTATAAATTTTGGAGATTAAACCCTTATTGGAGACAACATTGGCAAATATGTTCTCCCATGCAGTGGGCTTTCTTGTTTTGTTGATAGTTTCTCTCACTGTGCAGAAGCTTTTTATTTTGATGTATTTCTCCTTAGATTCCATTGCCCTAGAAGCTGTATTGGTAAAGATATTGCTACAACAAATGTCTTCTATTTTGCAGCCTATGGCTTCTTCTAAGATTTTTATGGTTTCCTTTAAGTCCTTTATCTATTTTGAGTTTATTATGGTGTAAGTTGCTGGTCTAGTTTCATTTTTTTTTGCATGTATCTGTCCAATTTTCCCAACACCATTTATTATCTCCTTCCTTCTGTTCACTCTGGGCTTTTCTTATTGCTCTCTTTATAATTCTTCAAGTTGTAGAATTAGATAATTTATTATCAGTTTTTCTTGTTTTTTGAGGTAGGCCTGTAATGCTATGAACTTCCCTCTCAGGACTGCTTTCACTGTGACCCATAGGTTTTGGATTTTGTGTTTTCATTGTCATTCATTTCCAGGATGTTTTCAAGTTCTTCTTTCATCTCTTTGATAAACCCAATCATTAATAGCATGCTATTCAGCCTCCAAATGCTTAAATTTTTGTGATTGTTTTTATTGTAGTTCATTTCTAATATTATGCCATTGTGATCTGAGAAGATGCTTGATATGATTTCAATCTTGTTGTTTTTGAACAGTCTTTGCCTGTGACCCAATATGTAGTCTATCTTTGAAAATGTCCCATGTGCACTTGAGAAGAATGTATATTCTGTAGCTTTGGGTGAAATGTTCTGAAGATGTCAATTAAGTCCATCTGATCTAGTGAGTCCTTTAAGATTGCTGTTTCTTTGCCGATTTTTTTGTCTAGAGCAGTGTTTCCCAAACTTCTCTCATGATGAGGATCACCTGGTGGAGTTGTTAAAATACAGATTCCTGAATCCCAACTAAGAAGTGCTAAACTAGAATTTTTGGGAACATAAGAAATGCTAAACTAGAATTTTTGGGAACATATAGGTATACAATTTTACCTATATGTTCCCAAAAATTCTAGTTTAGCACTTCTTAGTTGGGATTCAGGAATCTGTATTTTAACAACTCCACCAGGTGACCTCATCATGAGAGAAGTTTGGGAAACACTGGTCTAGAGGATATATCAGTGGGGATTAAAGTCCCCTACTGTGATTGTATTGCTGTTGATCTCTCCCATTTTTTTTTTTTGTATTTGGAGCTCCTGCATTGGGTGCATATATGCTTACCAGAGTTATCTCCTCTTGTTGTATCAATCCCTTTAGTATTATAAAATGGCCTTCCTTATCTCTTGTTATGGCCTTCACTCTGAGTTCTATTTTGTCAGATATAAGTATTGCCTGGGTAGTGGGCTTGGTCCCGGTGGGTGCTGTGCAGGAGGAAGCAAATGGGTGTTGTGCTCTCACATCAATCTTTTTATTTTTTTATTGATTTTGTACAGAGAGGAAAGGAGAGAGATAGAGAATTAAAAACATCGATGAGAGAGAGTCATCGATCAGCTGCCTCTTGCACACCCCCTACTGGGGATATGCCCGCAACCAAGGTACATGCCCTTGACTGGAATCGAACCCGGGACCTTTCAGTCCCCAAGCTGACGCTCTATCCATTGAGCCAAACTGGTCCCGGCTCTCACATCAATCTTTCTCTTTCTCTCTCCCTCTCCTTTCCTCTCTCTCTAAATATCAATAAAATATATTTTTAAAAAGTTAACAGAGGTAATAAAATTACACATAAGAATGTAATACAAAGTCTACTAAGCACTAAATGAGTGCTTAGACATGAGCACTAGGGAATAGGACTAGTTACTTTATTGTCCTGAAAAACAAAATACTGTGATAATGATTATTGCAGAGTCCTACACAGCATGAGTGAGCAGAAAGAAATAAAAATGCTCAGCTCCCGTGGTGATGGAACAGCACAGGTCCCTCCAGCCCTGAGCTCCCTTCCTATCACCTCCGGTCAGCTCTCCGCTTACAGTGCTTCCTTTTTGTCTTCTCATGTCTTTCCATTTTCTCTTTTCTTTAGTATTTAATTTGAATATTTTCTTTATGCTAATGGTTTTTAATCTCATTTTATTTGGTCTTTAATTATAACCCACTTAAAATCCTCTTTGGAAATAGTGTATAAGTCATTTTTATTTTTCTTTCAAAGTTACCCCCCCCTTTTTTTTTAACCAGTGTTGTTCTCTTAACTGATTCAGTAATGAGATGTTTTTAATATTTAATAATATTTTACATTTAATTCTAAATTTTAATTTGTATTACCACTCCATATCTGGCACCTGAGCTAATATGGCTGAACAACAGGGAACCAAGTAGTCAAGCATCTCTTTCCAGATGGCCCTTCATCTTGCTCTGTGTACTTTCGTATAGACTGGCAGGCACAAGGTAGAATGGCTTTTTTTTCTACTGATTTCAGAGAGGAAGAGAGAGAGAGAGAGAGAGAGAGAGAGAGAAAGAGAGAGAGAGAGAGAGAGAGAGGGGGGGAGAGAGAGAGAGAGAGAGAGAGAGAGAGAGAGAGAGAGAGAGAGAGAGAGAGAGAGAGAATATGAATATGAGAATATCATTGATAGGCTGCCTCCTGCACACCCAACACTGGAAATCGAGCCCACAACCTGGGGATGGGCCCTGACTGGGAATTGAACTGTGATCTCTTGGTTCAAAGGTCGACACTCAACAACTGAGCCACACCAGCCAGGCTAGACTGACTTCTTATGAGGTAACTGACTTACCTGAAGAAACTATTTCAGCGTAGTCAGAGGCAAGCTGCCAGGCTTCTGTGACTTTGCCTTGGGAGGCAGGTAGACTCACTTCTGTTATAACCTAAAGGCCAAAGTAGTCATGAACTAGCCCAGACTGAAGACAGGGAATGGAGAGACTCCACCTCTTGATGCAGGAATGTGTGGATAAGACAGTAACTATAATAGTGCTATTTTGGAGCCAGCTACCTCAGCAACATTGTTGAGAATATATAAACCCAACTTCTTAAAAAAAGGAATGATGTCCCATAAGAAAAGCCCGTTTCTTCTTGTCATTCATTTTTATGACCTAAATTACAGAACATAATTAAAATGCCTGGGGGAAAAGCCAAGTCTAACTTTCCAAAGTGGAGAACCATAAACAGACTCACGTTCTGATTAAATTTTAGTATATGTTTGATTTTAAAAATGTATTTGTATTCTATCTCAAGAGCCTAGCATTTGGCCAATGGATTGCGTACCCACTTGTTAACACAAGTGTATTACTAAACCTGTAGTATTAGCACCTCCTGAGAACTTGTTAGAATGCAAAATACCAGGTCCTATCCCAGCCCTACTGAATTCCCAGGTATTTTTACAAGATGCCCAGGAGATTCATAGACATGCTAGTTTGAGAAGTGCTGCCGTAGGCCATACCCATATACCAGTATACACAGACTATCCTCAAAATTGTCATTTGGAGAAACCCAGAAAACATGCAGTACTCTTCTTCCAATTTTTGGAACAGAGAAAGATTGCACTTGACTTTGGTTTTAATTGTGAAAATAGCTACAACTTGATGGCTCCTATAATACCCTTGACAAGTTAGAGGAAATGTTTTTATCTGGAACATCAAGGTTCATCACTATGTATGTGGGAAAATGTTTAATCTATAACAGATTTTTTATGTGATTTGGGAAGCTAAGGAGAAAAGGCCCCCAAAACTGCAAACTCCCAAGTAGATAACAAGTGCCTTATATACATTTAGCTATTTACATGTAAAAGCACATGGATTTTTTTTTTTTTTTTTTTTTTTGCTATCATTATCAGTGAATTACTTATAATACATGGATGCTCCTTGACTTACATTACGGTTACATTTGGATAAACCCATCACCAATTGAAAATATCCTAAGTCAAATGTGCACTTAATAAACCTAACCTCCCGAACACCATAGCTCAACCTTATCTACCTTAAATGTTGTCAGAACACAAACTAAAAACTGCTGGTTGCATAGTATACTGTAAAATATCCGTTATTTAACAACATGATCATGTGCCTGAGAGGGAGCCGTGGCTCACTGCTGCTGCCCACATCATGAGAGTATCATACAGCACACAGCCTACCACTAGTCCAGGCAAAGGTAAAAAATTTGAAAGTAGTTTCTACTGAATGTGTATTGCTTTTGCATCATGGGTAGTTGAAAAATGCCAAGCTGAACCATTGTAACTTGGGGACCTACTGTATTTTTGGGCAGAATAGCAACACTGTCTTGCAAGTTAATTTGCTATAATTGACCAATGTCTCTAGATAAAGTAAAACTTAAAAATAAAGATGCCCTTCTAAGTTAAATAAATTAACTTTTGAAAACATACCATTTTCTTCCAAAAATATGATCAATCCATTCACAATTTCTTGCCTTTTCTTCTTGTCATTCATTTTTATGATCTAAATTACAGAACATAATTAAAATGCCTGTGAGAAAGTTCTTAACAATCAAGTAAGTTCAACATTAAAGATGTCTAAATTTTTCAGCCATTCCTTTGTCTTGTTAAGCATCTAGACATAAATGCTACCTAAAAAAATATATTTGAATATATAAATCCTTTATAAATAAAGAACTTTCATTTAAGGGATAAATAGAAACTTGAGGTTGGTTTCCAAAAGGCCTCAGATCCAAGACTAGAGTAAAATGTAAACACCAGATTCAATCAGCTTTTAAAAAGAAATTGCGTGGTTTTCATAGTCTGCAAAGAATTCAAGACAGGCTGAAATCATACGGACTTCTTAGTACACAAAGGAATGGCAAATAGCCTTCCATTGTTCCAGTAATCTGTTAGCACCATAAATTAACAGAACAAGGAGAAACCAGTTTGGTTTTATTATGGCATTGTCCCAGGGAATCTAAAGCGTACACTGTGGGTGACGAGGGCCTCAGTAACTGTCAGATAAATGTTGTTGCCACAGAGCCTTTCACTCAGTGTGGATCACACGTTGTCTGAATTCTCATTTAGCCTACTCACTTGCTCTGACTTATATTTGGCTAAAGTGTTCTGAACCTTATTGTGTACGTTCTTGATTCAAACTTTAATGGTTTTGCCAGTCACTATGGCTCAGTGGTTAAGTGTCGATCCAGGAACCAAGGTCATGGTTCAATTCCTGGTCAGGGCACATGCCTGGGTTGCAGTGATTCTTTCTCATCATTGATGTTTCTCACCCTCCCTCTCTGAAATCAATAAAAATATATTTAACACACACACACACACCCCTAATGGTTTTCATAATCCTTAGGATAAGATTTCCCCAATCCTTAGAGGCTTTTGAGAACCTTTATGATCAAGGCACTGCCTATCACTCTAATCTCCTCTTGATTTACTCAGATCTAGTGATAAAGTCCTTGCGCTCACCAATGAGCTGGCAACTGCTGTTCCCTCTGGCTGAAACACCCCCTCCCCTTTCCTTTCTTCCAGTTTCTCCCATTAATTTCTTCCAGTGGGAGTGGATACCCCTTTATGCTCCCACAATATATACATGTCCCCATATCATCTCACACTTCAAGTTCTTCTCCTCTGGAGGGCCAGGGATGTCTTCTCTCTGTGTTGTGTTCAGCACTGAGTGTGACACTCACTAAATAGCGCTGACTAGGCAAAGGAATGAGTATTCCACTAAAGTGCCGAGAGTGTGTTTGTTATAGTGACTGCAAGTTCAATGGCGTAGGATAGAAGAAATCTACTTTTCCTTTTATTCATTTAAAAGATTTTATGGAAAAAAAGTGGGCTAGCTCAGGAGCATTTAAATATGGTCAGTAAGTAATGTAGTGGTTAATTACCTGAAAAGAGGTCATTCCATTCCTGCTAATATTATAAATATTCACAACAAAAAAGGAACTTTACGAATCTTACGATTGTGTACATGGGGGTCAAATTCAACATCTTCATTTTAGAGATGAAGAATTAAATGTTTAAAAAACTAAACTGGCCTTGATCCTGCCCACTGCTATTACCCCAGACCCCACTTAGAAACAAACGCTGTAGCCCGGATTTGATCTAACATCCCCAAGAATGGCATCAGGAGTCCTTTATACTCTCACTTTTCCCACTTACGTTGACCCTAATGACTCTTTAGGGCTTATTCTCATTGCAGGTAGATAACAGTGGTAAAGAATTTGAGTCCTGACAGTTCCTACAATCCTAAATTTGCTGTGAAGATCAAATGAGATCATGAAAGTAATCCACCATGTTCCCAGCAAACAGGTGGCTAATACCTGCTCTCATTACTGCTACCTGACTGGCAGAATCCAGAGCTGGAAAGAGAGATGGTTTATTTATTCACCCGAGATTGTTATAGGATGTCTTAAACAGTCACACACCGATTCAGCTAGAAAATGAGCCCAAAATTTCGCTTAGGGCTGGTACAAATGTAATGATGCGAATTTCATCATCCCTGTATCTCCATGAGCTTTTCTCAATTTACTCAGAAATTGAAAAATATTTCTCCCAGAAAGGTCTGAGAAGGACCCCAATTTTTAAAGGGGTTAATGAGGAAAAACAGTATTTGGGTTCTGGAAAACAAGGCAGTGTTGACAGGACAAAGGCCTGGCTACAGGGAGAATTCCAGGTATCACAATTGCACCTCTTATGTAACTTAAGGGTCTTGGGAATTAAAAAATTCTCAAGAAATATGGGAGGTGGTGTGAATGTGGAGATACTATATCCCACAGTATATTTTACTTCATACAACAAACATTTTCATTGGAAATCATATTTCAATTTTTTATAAATGAAGTATTTTGATGCACTGTGGGACCTGTTTTTTGAAAGGAGATATGGGGAACAAATAATCTTAACTTAAACATTCTGTTAAAAGTGTAGATCTTGTCCTAGCTGGTTTGGCTCAGTGAATAGATCACTGGCCTGTGGATTGACTGTAAGATCCCAGGTTTGATTCTGGTCAAGGGCAGATGCCTGGCTTGTGGGCTTGATCCCCAGTGGCAGGTGTGCAGGAGTCAGCCAATCAGTGATTCTTTCATCATTGATGTTTCTCTTTCTCTCCCTTTCACTTCCCCTCTGAAATCAATAAAAAATTTTTTTTTTAAATAGAACTTCCCAGGCCCTCTGACAAATTTTAACCCTAAAGCCCATTATGTTCATATAAGAAAGGTAATTGGCAGAATTTTCAGTTATCTTTTTTCTTCCTCTTCATTTTCTCACTTTGTCCCACTTCCTGTCTCACCAGCCTTTGAGCAAGGATGGACACTTGTCAGATATGCCAACTGAGTCAGTATGATTTCTCTCTGCACAGGGCTGAGCCAGTATCTTAGTCAGCTCAGTCTTAACAAATACTATAGACCGGTGACTTAAACTACAGCTATTCTGAGTTCTGGAGGCCAAAAGTTCAAGATCAAGGTACAGTATGATGGGTTTCTGATGCCACCTTCTCTCCAGACCTCACACTGGGGCAGGGTGCCGGGAGGGAGAAAGGGAGGACAAGCCAGCTCTCTTCTAAGGGCAATAAGGCCCCCACTTAGGACCTCCTCTAACCTAGTTACCTCTGCAGACACATCACACGGGGGTAGGACTACAATATATTAACTTGGGAGACACAGTTCACTTCACAGCACCTAGTTAATCAACCACCCAAGAATACTATGAATTTTCAATTTTGTTGCTTACAACCAATTATTATAAAGGCTGGTTCTTCAAAATAAAATGAATAGTCTATATTAGTTTATTTAAGTTTTCTACAGTTTAAAACATTTTTCAATATATAAACAAGCCAGTAAATCTTCACTTATAATAAGTGAACCAATGAACACTGTTCAGATAGTTCAAACACTGATTTGTATTACTTATGACCAAATCAATTTTTTTAAAATATGGTTTAATCACGTAGCTTCTGGAAGATGAGTTAAGTGATGAAAAAATGGGCGACCATGAACACACCCTTTAATCTCATTCCCAAACTGCTGCTTCATTCTGTGGATGATGTGTTGGATGTCCTCCTTTGGTAAGTACATGGGTAACTGTCTAGACAGACGCACCGCTTCTCCCTGTGGAGAGAGAGCCAGACATTTTTACTGCGATACACCTGGAAGCAGAAATATGTTATTCCCGCCAACAAGGTAGATCTTGATTATATTCTTTTTTATTATTCATTTGTTCAACAGATATTTACTAAACACTAATTACATGCTAGTCATTTTTGTGGGTTATAGGAATACAGCAGAGAACAAGACAAACAAGATCCTGGCTCTTGTGAAATTTACATTCTAGTTCAAAGAAACAAAAAACAGAGAAAAAACAAAGAAAACTGCAGTAATATGTACAAATTAAACTGAGCAACATGATTAAGGTGACCAGACGTCCTGCTTTTGGTGGGGCAGTCCCGATTTTTAACAATTTGCCCTGCGGTGTTTTAAAAAAGTCCAAAAGATTTAAAAGAATCTTTCCAAAAATCGGGACTTTTTAAAAACGCCTGGGGATTCGGGGCATCTTCCTTCCTGCCTCTTCTGGAACATCTATATCCCAAATTAAAAATCAGGACTGTCCCGCCGAAAGTGGGACGTCTGGTCACCTTAAACATGATAAAAATTGTGTGCTTAGGAAAAGCTTTCTTGAGGTGAGCTGACACTTAAGCTTCAATTCAAACAAGGAACCAGGATGCATGTATCATGGGTAAAGAAAAGCATTTAGGCAGAGGAACAGAAAGAATCAAGTGACCCGAGTAAGTGCAGCCTCATTACCAAAGGGGAGCGAGGAGCAAGAAAGGGAGGGAAGCCAGGGGCACATCATCCTTTAAGAGCAATTTGGGTTTTCATCAGAATGCACAGGGCAATAACCAGAGGGTTGTGAGCAAGAGCATGACATTGCTTCTCTAAGTGGCATCTGGCTGCTGTGTGCAGCAGGGCCTGAGGCATCACTGCAGTCCTACGGAGTCTGACCAGGTGACGGAGTGGACACAGAGGGAGGTGTGAAAACTCCTGGCATGAGCTGGAGGTGGTCAAGACTGCCTGATGAACTGGCTATGAGGGATGCAGAGCTGAGGACCATGTTCCATTTCGGGTATGGAATGCTGTTTTCTGAGACAGTGAAGACTGAGAGTGTGGGGATAGAATGGTATTAGTAAAGCTGGCTTCTTTTAAGATTTAAAAAAATTGTACTTCAAAGATCTTAAATCCTAACACCCTCTCTTGTTCTCCCACCAGCCATGCTGCTCCTCCACGTTCGGAAAAACCCTGCCAACCACTGCTGGACGAGAACTGAACTCCTGGCTGGATCCAACACCAAAGTCCGCTCTTATGAGCCCCAACACCGCCTAAAAACCGTCCTCTTCTCTCATCAACCTTCTCACAGAGTGCCAACAGCTCCAATTGTCTTATCTTTTCTCCTATCCTCAGATCCCCAGCGCCACTCCAGCCCCTTCCCCAGCAGCAGACAACTCTCCCAGTCCTTTACCACATGAATCATACATGCCTTCTCTCAAGTTTACCTCAAATCATTTACATTCATGTTCCCTCCCCTCTTCTGCTCCCGGTTCAGAGAACCGTTTCTCCTTCTTCAAGTTCATATGTTGCATCTTCCTTCCTGCCTCTTCTGGAACATCTACTCTCCAACCTTTTGTAGTCAATGTTTTCTACCAAATTCAATGCAAACATGCTAACACCTCCTCTCTTCCTTTCACACATGGGGCGTGCCGCCCACAGTTTCCACCCCTGACCAACGTCTTCCATCCCCGTCTTCCATTGTGGGCCCACCCCCTTCTCTCTCTCTCTCTCTCTTCTCTTTCTCTCTCTCTTTTTTAAATATATTTTATTGAATTTTTACAGAGAGGAAGGGAGAGAGATAGAGAGCTAGAAACGTCGATGAGAGAGAAACATCGACCAGCTGCCTCTTGCACACTCCCTACCAGAGATGTGCCTGCAACCAAGGTACATGCCCTTGACCGGAATCGAACCTGGGACCTTTCAGTCCACAGACCGACGCTCTACCACTGAGCCAAACCGGTTTCAGCCATTGTGGCTCTCTTAAGGCTATCACTTCCATTCAGCAGCCACACCTAATGGTCTTCCAGCAACTATTACCCTACAAAGAATGTAATTCTAATATTTAAATTTCTTCCTTCCCTTGATCCCCCTCCCCTGGGTTTTCTTTTACTGTCCTATCTTTCTCTGTTTCACCTAATTCAACCTGACCTTAAATGAAGCATTCCTGTGGTGTGGTTCTAATAGGAGTTCTCTTTTACCCTAGAATCTTCCTTTAAGAATCACACCCAATATTACCTTAATATAATGGTAGGTATAATAGCAGTAAAAATATTTGTGTCTAATCCCAAACACTTTCTTCCATTATTTCTGAAATCTTACTTCTTCCCAAATGGTTCTTCCATACACAAAAATGACCCACAACTCCATCCCTCGAAACCGGCCGTGTTGAATTGCCCTGTCCGGGCTGGGAAAGTCCACCAGACGGAGGGCTCACAGAAAGCCACGAAGACCATCTTTAGGAAAGATAAGGTGGACTTCCCGCTGAGGAAGCCTGACCCTCAGAATGCAAACCAGGATTAACGTCTAAAACAAAAACAGCTCATTTTTTTTAAAAGGGAGAAAATAAATTTTACTAAAGATAAGGTTCACTTTAAAAATAATACCAGTCAACCTTGAGGGATAAAGGCTCAAGTAGACAATTACTATTTTCCTCCCACCACTGTTAAATGTGGACATTTAAAAGCTTATAATCTTCCTCCACCCTCTTACAACGTACTTTTTATTGTTGCTAGTATATTGTAGATGTCTCCCATTTCCCATCCTTTACCTCTATTACTTTTGAATTTATTTTTAGCCCTCTGCTGCATAGAAATTTGTGCTAGAAAATTATAATTTCCATTTACTTAATAATCTACCTCTTTCATTTTCTTTCTCCTTTTTTGCTCTTGAAAATCACATTGTAGTTCTTTTTACACAAGTATTTGGTATTAAGATGGAACAATTTTGAATCCCTTCTAAAAAAAAAAAACTAAAAAAAAACACAACAAAAAGAACTTCACTACAAAAGTCTCACGCACATGGTTCTTCCTCAATATGTACTCAAGGAATAATGTTATAGTAAGAACCCATCACATTATACCACAGCCAGCTATTTTAAAGGAGTTTTCTTTTTTTTAATAGTATCTTCCTCTTGAAAACAATAATAAACCTTATAGAAACTTTACTATTTCGAAACCATTTATTATTTTATTAAGGAATAGTTAAGTATCTTAAAACCTTAGCCAATCTACATAATTGAATAATGCATACCTCTAAATAACTTATCACTTTGCGAGGTCTACATTCATAAACTTCTTTTGCATTTTTGTTGACAATAGCATTAAGAATTTCTTTTAAATCCATCACGCCATAGAATGGAAGACAGTTAGCCATTCCCTCTATTTCTAAGTAGTTTTCAGCAATGGAAACTCCTAAAAGAAAAAAACACCAAAAAATACCATATTTATCATTAGTTTAGTTATGTTTGAATTATATTCCAGAAAATATCTATTAAAAACAAAACCACTGTTTGAGTATTTAGTGAACCTTCATAGAATGCACTATAGTCAGGATAAAGTTCTGTTCCTTAGTTGGAAGAACAAATAATAATTCCCATAGGATTTCAAATTTCCAGTAAGTCACAGTGTTTGTAGAAATCACATGAGCTTTGTATCATTTAATCCCAATGACTGATGTTCTGTTCCATGCATTTGTTTAGAAGATTTCCTTCTTTAGAGAGAAAATGGAGTCTCATGATGTTTATTAAAACAAAAACTGCTCTAAGTGTTTTCACGACTGCTGCTGTTCAAGTTCAAGCCTATTGGTTTAATACCTAACTTAAAGGCATGGCTTATTTCAATGACTATTAATACATAGCCATTTTCTTTTCCAGCTTTATTGAAATGTAACTGATGTAACATTATATAAGTTTAAGGTATACCAAGTACTCATTTGATATACATGTTGCAAAATGGGTACCACCATAGTGAGTAGCTTATGAATATAATAGAGGCACAAGGCACGAAATCCGTGCAAGAGTAGGCCTTCCTTCCCCCGACTGCCGCACTGGATTCCCTCCGGCACCAGCAGGCACCTGGGACCCGGGCTTCCCTCGCAGCCCGGCTTCGTCTGAAAGGACATCTGATCTCATTAGCATATTGTGCTTTCATTATTATAGATTATTATATATTAGTAATTTGAGGAAATGAAATGCTGTTTATTCAATGTATTTTATTAGGATAATATGTAAAATTGACATGTTATGTATTATTTAAGCTATTCTAAATAATTTAATGATTAAAATAAAATTAAAACCCAGCTATATCATTGAATATAAAACTAGGTAAAATATTCATAATAGCATATATTCACTCCAAAGCATCACATTTTGCATTGGAATGCATGTTATGATTTTGGAAAATAGCAGAATTGTTTTCTTTGGCTTTATCTGTGTGACAATATTCTTAATATTGAAGTCCATAGAATGTTACTTTGAAGTAAAGAAAATGAGACAGTCCAAAGCTGGAAAGTGGTATAAATGAGCTATAAATGGATGGACAAGAAAAAAAAAAAAAAGTGCTGTAGCTTGAAGAGCTTCGGACTCTGACACGGCGATGATCCTATCCCTAGCCTATTCTCACCTGGACCAGTTGTGTGATGTGACAGCAGGTGCATTCGTGGCACACCGAACAGAGCAGGCACCCTACTGCTCTGCCTGGGAAGCTTCTGACGACGAGAATAGGAACAAGTAAGATCAGCCAGCAGGTGATCCAATACAGACTCAGTGAATGGAGACAAAGTGAGAGTTTGAGCAACCAGGGGAACTTAAGTAGGACTTGAGACAGGAGTTAGACAGGCAAAGAGGAGATAGCAGAATATTCTAGTTCACATCTTACATATACACAGACATGGAAATTCACAAAAATATCAGTCAAGAGACTTGTGAATTGATTGAAAAGCCTAATGCCGACTATATTTGCCCTGAAAAACTGTACACATTTCAGAGAATTACTTGTGGACATGGGTAAAAAGCATTTGGCAACAGATGAGGAAATCGAGCACTATTTTAATCTCTGTGCTTGCAAAATTCAGATAGAAAAAACTAAGATATCTGGAACCATATCACTATAAACTTTCAAGACATTTCTATAAAATTCTGTGAAATGCTTCCCAATTTTCAAAGAAAATACTTCAAATTAATAAGTGGTTTGACAAGTTTTCACTTCCTAAAATATGGAATTCTTATTGATGCAGAACAAAAAACTATGCCATTGATAAGCAAAGTTTTTAGGGTCACATTCAGAATCTTTTCCCCCAGAGTCAGAAGTATTCTTCCTATCTTTCATTGCCTGTATCCAATGATGTTTTGTAAAAACTGGCAAATTGTTGATCTGAAATTAAGTCCAATATAACAAAACTCTCACTAAAAGAAAAAGAAATGGGCTTTAAGAAACACATGGCATAAAAATTAATGAAGAAAAATAACCAAAAATTTAAGAAAGAAAATGTGAAGGTTTTTAATTTGATCTGTTATTGACAAAATATGCTCATGATAATCTGTTAATTCCAAACTAATCAAGTCAGTTTGCAGATGACCGTCTTAGTGATTTTTACACCTTAGGTACCATGCAAAAAGCACTGGCATTCAGTCAGACTTAAAAAAACACTATCTTCAAGCTAAGAGCTGACAGCATCTGTCAGAAACTCACTGGTAGCTCAAAAATAAACATGCTCTTGGGAAAAAATGTCTTGCTGCACACACACACACACACACACACACACACACACACACACCTTGTTTCACACTGCAAATCAATTAAAAATGTGCCAGGGACCTGAAGAAGATTTCTAGAAGGGCTAAAAGAAATGACTTTCAGTTCAGGCCAGAGAGGAGTGCAAAAGGATGGGAAGGAGAGTATCTGAACACCTAGCATTCCACTGCTGCACACTATGCTGACCGGATATGTAAGTGCTTTGGCTAGTTGCTCACTACTTCATGATCTAAGTATCTCAATTTTAACAGGGAGGCAATATAATAAATTCATTAAGACCAGGCTCTAAAAGGTAGATTACATGGGTTCAAATCCTGGTTCTACCTTTGTGAACCTTTAAGCAAAATTAACTTCTCTATGCTTTGATTTTACCACCTATAAAATGGGGACAGCAATAGAGCTTCATAGGGCTATTAGAATAATAAATTAATACATTTAATATTAAGAATATTCAATAATTACTAGTTGATATTGATGAAGAAATATCTAGGCTAACTCACTTTTCCATAAACAATGTTTAAATGGCAGAGTTGAAATTTAGACACTCTTTACTCCAAATCTAACTATCCAAGACAAGGCAGTGAGGAGGTAAGAAGTTTAGGTAGGTATCCTTAAAACTGAAAAAGCCAAGTAAAATTAAAGTTTAGAACACCAAAGTATTTTCAGTTTATACCCAATTTCATGGTTTTGTACATTGTTTCCACTTATTTTCTTTTGAGATCTCAATAAAACATTCCTTTAAAAATCATCAACACTGTTTTGGTTGAACTTTGTTTTTCTACACTTTGGTCACAAGTTTAGGAGTGGGTGGAGGAAGGAACAGTGTCATCACTCTTGGTGGTGCCTTTGTGACCGCTGGTGCCAGGACAGAAGGCGGTGAAGCCGGAAACTGTGGAAGAACGGAGGAAGGGCCAGCCAGGAAAAACTGAAGTCTCCTAGCCAGAGGAGCCTTTTTTCTCCCACCCAGTGAATTCCCATACCAACCAACAGTGCTATCACACAGTCTTTTTAGTAAAGCAGGGATCAAATCATCTGCTCTAATAGTAAGAGGGCTGGTGTTAACACATGTAAATGCAAAGCAATAGCATGATTTCAGAAAAAGAACGGGCCCGTTTTTGTTATGCTGCTACAGGAGCTACAGATTTACCTCTAAACGAGCATTTAATAACTAGTTAGAGCAGGCATTTGAATATTGTGACAAAGAATGGCAAAAACGAAAACTACTTGACTAGCTATGGAAATGCAAACTCAAGCCAACAGAATGAAAGAGATACCAAACTTGCTTATTTCAGACCGATGTGACATGTCTGAAATATGACTGTTTTTACGTGGCTGATGTACTTTTAGTGAGACAAAAATACACCATGATACCTCTAAATTATGAAACCCAAATGTGTCTCCTGGAACAAGATTTATTTTTCCAAGGGGAAATATTAAACCACATCATACCTGGTATCAATTTTATCTTGAAACCATTTGCTGTAAGACGAGGATCGGACAGGTAAGTTGATCCACTGTAGCTTTGGTCACCTGCTGTCATTTTATATAAAATCTCTAAATAATGAGATCCATTAAAAAGACTGAAAAAGAAATAACTGTCCTTTAACTTATTAAATATGTAAAATAATATTTAAAATTTTATGGTAGTTAATCTAAGGGCCTTTTAAAAAGTGTTATTAGTAACCAAAATACAAAGGTATCAGTAACCCTGTAAGGAAGTTTATTTTTTTACATTTCTGTTAATATTTTATAGAAGACCTACCACATACAACATGTAGGGGGAATAATATATATAAAAGGCAGTTTCTATTTTCTACGATGTTATAAATAAAATGTAAAATAAACAAGTGTGCTCCCTCAATATAATACAAATGAAAACTATACCTATAAATGCATTTATACCTTTAGACAGACACATAATATATTGCCAAGCTATTCAAGTGGTACAGCCTCCATAATTTCAGTTGTTAGTCAATAGTAAAAAGACAAGCATATATATCTTCTTCGAGCTTATAATGCAGTAATTCGGAGCCTGGGAGAGCTTCCTTCAGGCATGGCATGTTTGCCAACAGTGGTGTACGGATGGCATAGGCTATGAGCAAAATTGTGAGGTAGTGGGAGATCTGCCAGGGCACAAGCTCGCCTTTCACGTGGGTTACGGGCTCACAGTGCTCAAACATGTGCCTACAACCAAGTGTCTGTGGGCGGGCGTGTGACGGACACGGTCTTAGGTGTGCAGGGCTCTGTTGTTTGTGTATAAGGTTTTAAGCGGCTGTTTCTTCATTACAACCTGGACCGCAGAGAAAGTAAGTGAAGAGATGATGTTTTTGCCTATCATCTCTGAAAGGTAAAGGACCCCATGGCCGTGACAGCAGATGCCACAGAGTGAAAACTGGCCACCCCCAGAAAGTCAGTCTGAGCCAGTGGTGGTGGTGACGCGGCACAGCAGCAAATGGTGCAGGCTCTACGGTTACTGTCTGGATCCAACCATGCATTAGCCATGTGAGCCTAGGTAAGTGACTTACCAGTTCTATGGCTCAGCCTCTCCACCTATAAATACGGATAATGACAGGCCCTCTCTCTCATCATGTATGAAGATCATGCAAGCAAAGGGCTTAGAAAAGTAGGTGCTCAATAAGCATTAGCCGTGGTTGAGCTCCTGCTGTTTACAGCTCTCTAAATTGCTCCCTTCAGAGAGACGCTACACAACCCTCAGGAGGATTCCAGTGAGAAAACTGAGCCAATCCAAAATTACCCTGTCCATAGCTCAGTTCTGAAAAACTTACATTACTAACTGTAATGGGGACATTACATTTCAGAAAACTCCAGATATACCCTACCTCTTTTTAAGGAAATAAAGATAAAAGTATCAGATATTTGAACTCTTTTAATTCAGCTTAAGGCTGCATTAATTCTTTTTCTGATGCTTCTTCTGACAGTCCTAAGTCAATCTATACTATGAGAGATGCTGGATTTTAGTTAATGTGATTATTGTAGCCTTAATTATAAAAGATAGCTTTAACAAATGTTGTTCTGTCCCATTTTTTCCCCCTTCTGGTGACAGGGTCTTTAACACAAAGGCTTTAATACATTTTACAAGTAATTTTTATTTATTTTTAGAAGTCTGGAAGAATTATCTGTGGATGTGCCTAGGGAACAAACCCTAACGTCTTTCCATTTCATGTTTTTACTTCCTTTGATGGACCTGCGATTCTCTTCTACCTGGGCCACATGAAAAAGAAATATTAAGTATAAAAAAGGGAAATATTAACGTTATTAGTTATTCATTTTTACAGAAAATAATTTGCTCATAAAGGATGTAAAAAAGAAACGCCCTGTTTTAAAATCTATAATAGCCCTAGCTGGTTTGGCTAAGTAGATGGAGCATTGGCCGGAGGACTGAAGGGTCCCAGGTTCGATTCTGGTCAAGGGCACATGCCTGGGTTGTGGGCTTGATCCCCCATGGGGGGAATGCAGAAGGCAGCTGATCAATGATTCTCTTATCATTGATGTTTCTCTCTCTCCCTCTCACTTCCTCTCTTGAAATGCATAATAACATATTTTAAAAAATCAAATCAAATCTATAATAAAATTAGTTCCAAAATAATAACCAATGGATGAAACATTAGATGGAGGCTGATAGGAACCTAAGGTGGAAAATCAGGCTATCATCTGCTGACCTAATGATAAATGCCTTTGACGGGATGAAATATAAAGCACCTGGCACTGTCTATGAAGCAGTCTCATCAGAAAGTGGAATCTAAATCCATTCAATCCTCCTGAGCTAACCTCCACTTAAATACAGGACAGGGAAAAACAGGTTGACTGCCATCTCATGGAAGCAAAGAGACAAATCAAAACCAGACATTCCAATGAACAAGTGTGGGTAGTATAAAAAGCTAATGGTGTGCTATTAAGATAGATTTGTGAGCATACCAAAATGTAACGGTTGGACGTGGACTAGATACAAATTGAAAATTTTAAAGCTATAGGAAAGACATTTTGAGACAATGAGGAACAATTCCAAGGAATTATTATTGTGTAAGTTATGACAAAGGCACTGTGATTAGCTAAGAAAATAGCTATTTTTGAGAGAGAGATACTGAAAGACATATGGGTGGGAATTGTTCTAAAATACTTTAGCAAAGGAAAGAAAATATGCATATATATACATACATACACGCATACATGGGCAAACAGAGTAAAGGTGGCAAAATCTTGAAAATTGTTGATAAAGGTATTCATTGTACAATTCTATTTCGGTATATTCTTTAAATGTTTAACAGCACACAACAGAGAAGAATCATGGCAACCTCACTTCAAAATTACCCTAGGTAAGTCACTAATGTACAAAAGGAGAATTAAGCTTCATATTTTTTAATTGCAAAACTACGTAGAATATTTTAAAATTATTTACTTAAAAGCAATTACTTCCCTTGGAGATAAGAAATAAAGTTTTTTTGTTTTTTTTTGTTTTTTGTTTTTAAAGATTTCTTTAAATAAACACCTCTTTTCCCTATTAGGAAACACTTTCAACTTTTTACCTCCAATTTCTAATCTAGTATGGATTAATAAATGTTTTTAGAGTAAAAAATATTATATTACTTCACCATACCTCTCTGTTAATATAATTGGTTTTTCCAACGGTTCTGCAGGAAGTTTATGATTCTCAAGAAGTCTTTTAAATAGCAGGGCTTCTTCCACTCTGTATGGATTTAACAACATTACCTCTGTTTTGGATGTAATTAGCCACGCATCAGGAAATTTGAGATTGTGGATTAAGCAAAGTTCGTCCTTTTCTTCTAGTTCAAATTTCTTATGTTTCTCTACATTTTTTTTAAAGTTTTCCATAGAAAAGTGAATTTGAACTGTTTTAATGGTTTGACTCTTTTTTTTTTCAATCTGGGACTGGAAAAGCTCATCAAGTTTTGGCTGATTAGATAATGACGTTTTCAATTTGTGCTTCTGTGCCAAACTCCATGAGCTTGTGGGCTTCATTTTTTTCCTACCATCTTGTAGTGAGGTTTGTGGCTCCTGTTCAATGGCTCTCTTGATTTGCCTATGGTATCGTTCCAAGTCTTTAGTAGCCCTCTCTTCATATCTATGAATAGATAAGGAGAACTAATGAGTTCATAATCAGAAATACTTTAACCATCTGAAATAAATTTTATAAAAAACTAGGGGCCCGATGCATGAAATTTGGGCACGTTGGAAGGAAATGAGAACAGTGTTTTAATATCACTAGTCGTCCTTTCTCTATAATAGAAGTGTCAACCAAATTCACAATGGACAATGACAGATCGAAACACGTGCATGTGATTGGCGCAAGAGCTTTACATGTATCACGCGTGCTCGAATCAACGTAGCCTTTTTTACAGAGAAGCGGGGAGAGACTTAGAGAGTTAGAAACATCAATGAGAGAGAAACATCGATCAGCTGCCCACTGGGGATGTGCCTGCAACCAAAGGTACATGCCCTTGACCGGAATCGAAGGTAGGACCCTTCAGTCCGCAGGCTGATGCTCTATCCACTAAGCCAAACCTGTCAGGGCTAATACTACTATTTTCTATCAATACACATAATTGAAAAGGGAACACAATTTGACTAATGGTTAATAATTATTTAAGCAACCTTGCTAATTTCTTTTTTGAATTCAGTTTTAAAATTGAGTCTAGAAAATGTTATCTCTTGTTTTAAGAAATGTAACAGACAGACTGAATTCCATTGGAGGTAATATGCATAAAACGTTTTTAAGGAGAAAAATGAACAGATCTGTGTCAGAAAATAAAAATGCTCTTAGTGGGAGAGCTATATTAAATGTTAAAGTGAAATTAAGAGACAAGAGACCACAGCATGTTGTTTAGTTGGCACTTAGCACTTGTTTGTTAAATAAAGAACTGTTATTTGGAGGAGAATGCAAAAAGCTCTTGTTTCTCTGTAAACTGGGTAAAAAATGCCTCTTTTGGTGAGTCCCCACATCATATTCATAACTTTTTACATTATTTTCTCTCATTTCTACTTAGAACCCGAACTTCTGGATTAGCTATATAAAACACATGATTAATTTATTTTCAATATTACTAAAATTAAGTATTTTTAGCTCCTGGACATCCCAATTCAAGATTTCCTGTATGGTGGAAAATAAGTTCAAGATGAAGGTCACCATTTGTAATTAATTATAAAGCGCAAATTTTCACATATGGTACTAATCTTTTTATTTACTCAAGAAATCAATTTCATGAGTTTCTTGGGAAATATAAAAAGTTATGTTCAAAGGAATATTAAGTGAAGGTCAAGTAAAAATATCTGCTACCTATGACTTAATGTCGTTAAGGGATTTATTAACTGGAATGGAAAAGTTATAATTCTGATTTGACCAGTAATCAATTAAAATGATGTGTTAGTGACTAAAAATTACATGTAGCTACAAAGTCTCTTTACCATTTTCAATAACGCCCCCATTCTTATTCTTAGCTATTTTTAGTAGACTTGTTCGTACCCACCGCAAATCAAAGTTCGCGCTAACATCAATTGACTGAGAGCCCAGTGGCAGTCACCTGCCAACATCTGGTTTCTAATCCCCCGAGGAGAGGACTCAAGGGGGAGGCAGGGCACGAGAGCCAGAAAGGAAGAGCTGAAAGACAGAGTCCTCCTGTTCCAGCCTGTCCTACGTTCTCAGCAGAAACCCCTGATTCAAGTTCTTTCCCAAGCTCTGTTATGGCTTACGGAACCCTTTTGTGACCTGGCCTGCCGTTCTCCATCTTTCTTCATCACACTCCCATAATTCAACTCCTCTCAGAGAAGACACCCTTCAGTTCCAGAATAACATTGTTTTGCTTCTAGTTTCTGGACCTCTTTTTTTTTTTTTTTTTTTTTTTAATATATTTTATTATTTTGTACAGAGAGGAAGGGAGAGAGATAGAGAGCTAGAAACATTGATGAGAGAGTCATCGACCAGCTGCCTCTTGCACACCCCCTACTGGGGATATGCCCGCAACCAAGGTACATGCCCTTGACCGGAATCGAACCCGGGACCTTTCAGTCCCCAAGCCGACGCTCTATCCATTGAGCCAAACCGGTCTCGGCTAGTTTCTGGGCCTCTTACATGCTGTTCCTTCTCTCTAGAAAATTCCCTACATCTTTCTGATAGATTTCTATTCAGGGAAGCAGTTCCTGTCCCACAGATGAGATTAAGACCAACTGCTAAGTGTTTTAATAATTCCCTATATTTTTTAAGTTGGGGGGGGGGGGGTGGGGAGAGTTAAGGGAGGGGTAAATGGGGGGAAAAGGGGAATATCTGTAATACTTTAAACAATAAAGATTAAAACAACTTATCATATTCTGTGATTATTATTTTTAAACTGTCTCCCTCCCTAGGCTACACCATTGAGAAGTGGAAAATGTTTACTTATGACTGTATTTGAAGTGACTAGCCGAGTACATAGAGCCTTGTACACAGAAATGCCCTCAACATGTATTCCCTAATTTAAGGAAGGAAAGAGGAAGGGAAGGTGTGAGGGAAATGGCTGAGAAAGGCTTAAGAGCAGGTCAGCGATAATAAAACTATAATTTTCTAACAAAAAAAGTGATGCCAAAGAAAGGCATTTTCCATTCTGCTTTTCCATAAATAAGAAGTTAAAAAAATTTTAACCCAGTGGATGGAAATATTTCAACATTCAGGTCACATGTAAGCTCTGGAAACTTACTTCAGTTTTTCCTCTTCACTTAGTGTCTCCCACAGTTCTTCAATTTGTCTTGTTGCATCCTCCAAACTGGTCTTAGAATTTTCTGTGAGAAACTGACCACGACGATCTTGAACAAAAAGGGCACTTGCTGACATGGGTTTCTTGATTACGCGGCTGCTAATTAAGTCATAAGCTGTAAGCTGTCCTGATTTGTTATCCACCACATTTGACTTTTTGTTACAGGAGCCTTCACTGAGATTCTTTTGTTCAGGGCTGGGGTTATTTTTCTCCCTTACTTGACATGCTGAGCTTTCTTGAGGCACTAAAATCTTCACAGGTTCAATGTTTTCTCCCAGGGAATTTTTGAGTGCATTTCCCCTGCTCCAGTTATCTGCACAAATTTCCAAAGACTCCACAGGAACTGCTTCTTTCTCATTTTCCCCACTCCCACCTACAGTGCCATTTTCTGATTGGGTGTGCGTAACAGAACCTACAAAACCAGTTTCAGTATATTCCTTCTGGGTGTCCTCACTTGATAAATTACCCATTGGGATCTCCAGAAACGTATTTTCAGTGTTATCAATGTTAGAATTTTCACTAATAAAATGGTCATTATAATGGTCACAAACGTGTACATGATTTAAACCGTTGTTTTCTCCAGGTTCATCATTTTGAAAAGAAATGCTCGAAGTATCAACATTTGGACAATTACTTCCAGATGATCCCGCCTTATTAAAAAGCACATCTGTTTCTGCTTTTTTACTAACAACCATGTCAGCTGAAGAAACATCTGTTTTATTATTTTCATAAGAATTTGTACTAGGTAGTGATCCGTAACAAGTTGTCAACAGGTTTTCAAGAGCAATTAAAACAGATTCCTACAAACACAAATTAACAAATGTTAGGAGAAATTATAAAAAAAAAATAGACAAGATTTAAAATATTTAAAAATATGTATAAACAAGCAAATCTCCTTTGTCACACAAAAATGGTTAGGATAGTATAAATTTGTAAGTAACATAAATTAAAAAATGTACCTAAAAAAGTTTACCTTGTTCTGTAATAATACTTGACTTTTATCTGGTGTTAAATTTACATCCACGTTAGCTGTAGGAACATCAATTTTCAGAAAGAAAATGGGATACAAACGAGTAGATTCCTTTAGGCACTTCAGATTGTAATAACGTCGGATTAGCTACAAATATATGTAATGAATAAAAGACAAAAAAGCCATATAAATAAATATTGCCATCCATACAATAGCACCAAAAGGAGAATGTTCAACTGAGTGGATGTAAGTGCTTACAAGGAAAATGAGTATCTAAATAGTAGCACTCATTTAGAGGCCTTTAACCTATGTGAATGAAGCACAGCATTCCTTAAGCAGCACAAATATCCAATGCAACTGGCTTCACGGTTATAGATACTAGTGTTAGCTCAGCTAATGTGGCTCAGTGGTTGAGCAATGACCTATGAACCAGGGATTATAGTTCAATTCCCAGTCAGGGCACATGCCCAGGTTGCAGGCTGATTACCAGTATGGTGCGTGCAGGAAGCAGCCAATCAATGATTCTCTCTCATCATTGATATTTCTCTCTCTCTCTCTCTCTCTCTCCATCCCTCTCTAAAATCAATATATATATATATATATATATATATATATATATATATATATATATATGTGTGTGTGTGTGTGTGTGTGTGTGTATACATATATATATACATACACACACACACACATATATCTATATATATCTATATATATATATATATATATATATATATATATATATATATATATTCATCTAGTGTCAAAGTCCAGAGTTTAAATCCAAACTCTGTTACTTCCTGGCTATAAGATCAAGAAAGTGGCTAACATTTCAATTTTTTCTCATCAAAAATAAAAGGAAAATAATATATCACATAATTGTAAAGACTTAATCAGACATCATATGTAAGGTACCTAGAAAAATATTTAATAAATTTTATTAAATCTCTTTGTCCTTTTCCTTATCCTATATAATAAAACCCTACTATGCAAATTGCCTGAATGGTGGAATGATTGGTCATGACGTGCACTGATCATCAGGGGGCAGGTGGTGATTGGGGGGTGGGGCCGGCCATCGGCGATCCAGGGGCAGGTCCAGCCAACGGTGGCGCCAGGTCACCAGCCAGGCAGTTGCTAGCGGGGGCCCCCTGATGGCCCCACAGATCAGCCCTGGCCTAGGGGCCCTACACTATATATTGGGAACAGTCTTGTAGATTTAAAAATTAAAACCTGGCAAGGCTACTCTAACCCTGAAAAAACAGGGTGATGCAGCGATGACATGCATGGACTCTGGCTTGCACATTTTGTGGTCAGCCCTGATTCTGACACTTGTAACTGTGTGACAAAGCCCATTACTTTACTTCTCTCTGCTTCAGTGTTTCCCCCATAGATGGGGAAAACTGTACTACTGCCTCAGAAGGTTCATGTTATGTACCGCTTTTTATAATCAGGGCAAAACGTAACTGCCCATACAGCAGCAAGATGCCTTTCACCTGTGTGAAAAGTATGGCCACTGGTGCATGCAGCGCCTGGACTGCGAGAGGGATGTCCGACTGCTGGTTTAGGCCTGATATCCCCGAGGGGCCCCGAATTGCGAGAGGACACAGGCCAGGCTGAGGGACCCCCACTCCTGTACACAAATTTCGTGCACTGAGCCTCTAGTTTCAGAATGAAGTCTTAGAAGTAACCCTGGTAACAAGTTGGCAAATGACAGAGCTAGTTTTCATTTCTGATCCAAGCAGGGCTTTTTTAAAAAGAGGTTACCTTTAATATGTCTTTTTGGTGTATTGGTCGACTGTTTATAAAGATGAAACTCCTTTCTGGGGTTGAAAGACTTGTGGAAGAGTGGTCTGCATCATGCTTTGGAAGAAATCCACTTAGATAAATCTGTAATTATAATAACAGAATTAATATGCAATGCAACAATAAGTGTGGTTCCGTGGGTCTGGCTATATCCGATACATTACAAGTTATCAAAATATAAATACATTTTCATCTTATGACCTGATAACCATGTCTTGAGCATTAACTTTGAATAAAATATTGGAAGCATGTTAAATTGGTGTTCTCTGCCTCTAGCTCTCTTTTTGCAATTCTATGTTAAGGAAAAATTGACATTCATAAAAGCTTCATGAATGGGCATATATCTTACTGCCAGAAGACATAAATACTGCTCTCTCTGCTCAACTTTAAATTCTGTCTTTTAAATTTTTCTTTCCTCATATTCTGACTTTCCTTTTAGCCACCTTTCCCTATAAAGAAGTGGCTGTTTCTGTATTTATTCTGAGTATGATACAAAGCCAATCTGACTGGGTTTTATTTCTCAGTTAAAAATTTCTTGCGCTTTGGATTCCAAGATAGCTGCAGGATTCATGGAAGCTACATCAACCTGCTCCCAGCCCGAACTGGATTTATAGCTAAACTATAAAGCGATCAACCTGAATAACCCGCTGAAGGCTAGCAAAACTGAAAAACAGTAACCAAGAATTTACAGAAGCAGCCATGCAGAGCCTGGTAAGAAGGCAGAGACTCAGAAAAGGCTAGCCCCACACTCAGATGTGCTGGTGGCTGCAAAACTCCCTCTCCTAAGAGCGTAGTGACACAGGGATCCCCAACCAAGAGCAACAGATAGGAAAGGAGCCTCCAGCATCGGGTGGTGAAAGGAGTGGGAGGGAATTCAGTCTGCCTGGGAGACCAGACACCACCTTCCCAGGGAAGAGCACTCCTATTGTTACAGCACCAGCCTGGGGAGTGCAGGGTTCAGGCTTCAATTTCTGCCTCCGACGGCGGGCGAGGCCACACTGCCGAACTTGGTTCTCGCGGGTCTGCTGGCTAAAGCAGTGACTGAGCGGCCCTCTTCTTTCTGGGGGCGAGGTGGAGGGAGACTCAAAGCTGGGACACTCAAAGTGTTAGGCTCTTGGATGAAGTGCTTAGCCACCTCCTATGGGCTAGACGGCCTTGGCGAAGTTGGGCAAGGTGGGGTGAGGATGGGGGGTGAGGAGGATGGAGACCTATAATAGTGTCAACAATAAAAATAAAGTTTAAAAAAAATCTTGCTCTTTGACATTGATTACAGTGTTGTATTTTATCTTATTTTTCATTTAGAGAACTTTTTTTTTTAACAAACAAACCAATTACTTAGTATTTTTATGCATTCTTTCTCCATTTTACAAATACAAAGAGAAGGAAGAAAATGAAGAAGGATCCTAGAAAAAATTACCAATGAGAAGAGACACTGAGAGACAATGAACAGGAGGCAAGGAAAATGCTCCTACTTTTACCTTTTAAGATAATATAATCTTTAAGAATACATTTCAGAGCCAGACTGACATGATTTAAATCTCAGCTCCAGTACTAACTATGTCATCTTGGTCAAGTTATTTAAAATACAGGCCTATACTCTGTCTGAAACAAGCAGAACCAGAGTGTTATTAACCTGTTAAATAATAGCAAAGTTTTGGTTTGGGTTAGGAAAGGCAGAGAATCTGTGGGGTTGCCATTTCCAGTTGCCCAGAAACCATGAGGCTCCCTAACAACATAGCCTGTAGACTGTTGTAATGTCTCTGGCTACCGCTGCACTTGGAAATAAATGTTTAAGGAAGACACATTACCAATTTTAGAACGCTAAGTGCATTATTGTCACAGTGCCAAATTGTGTCAATCTTAAAAAGTAAATTAGTAAAGCTGGATAAGCCATTACAAAATGATACTACTTAATTAACTGCAAAACTTCACAGCACTTAGAAATGGTTGTATAATTGAACAGGTAACATGAGACCCTTCTTAAAGCACCTGCTGAGCATCAGGGAAGCCTCTTTAGTCTCTAAAAGACTTACTAAGCTTGTGGATTAAAAAAAGTCTGCCCCAAATAGGTAATTATGAAGAATGAAATGAAGAAGAAATTGTTAATACTGCTAGTGTTTTCCTTTAATACCATCTTGATCAGCCACTGAATAATTACTATTACTTCCAAAATACTGAGCTTTAAAAATAGCTTAAGAACCAACCAACTATATTTAAGTTATATGGAAAAGGTTAAATCAGACAGCAAAGTTTTATAAAATGGTATAAGAAGTGAAAATCAAGCTAGTTCACGGAAAAATAGTATCTATACAAAACCAAATCAGTGCAACAAAATAAGAAATTAGATAAAGGACCCTGCTACCTGCCAGTCATCAAACTCATCTCTCCTCCACCCGATTCTGTTGAAACAGTAACTGGTCTAACCCGAGTCCTTCTCCCATTTCAGTAAACCTCTAAAACACCATGGAGTTATGTTCCTACAGTAATACTTTAAGTACTCGGGTCAGGATAATGGGATAAGTCATGTAGAAATGTCCTTCTCCCCCATCCCAACTATAAATAGAAGGCACAGAGAGCTAAAATTAGTTTTTACAATAATTTCAAAAGACTGAACCATTTCTGAAATGACAAACATAAAGATGTTATGTGTGAAAAACATAGTAGGGCGTACTGGCTGAAGTCAGGAGTCGTATGTGCTGTAGGGCCAGAAACCAGCTATGTCAGCTAGGAATTAAACTCTGTGTGGAAAGGACAGAGAACACACCCATGCACAACATGGAATTAAAACCAGCTTTTCAACTTGAATGAGTGGCTGCGATGTCCTCCCTCCCACCCAGCACCCCAAAATGCTTAAGAAGACCGTGTGTGCCTGTTTGCAAGGGTCACAGAAAGAGCACCCACAACTCCAACACAAAACTAAGGCTGGGCTCCATAAGCTAGGAAAAGGGGTCCCTAAAATCCTGGCTGGATGAAAGGCAGGGACTACTAACTCCAGCACCTCATTCTGAACTGGGGCTGGGAGGGGGCGGTATGTGCCAAACTATGAGGAGGGAGAGAGAGGGAAAGGGGGGGAAATCTAAACGACAAATCTGCATTCAAGGTGATTCTGCAAATTAAAATTTCAAAGCATATAAACTAGCAGAGAATGAGAATATTCTCTCAGGAAAGTAGAAATGATAAAGCAGTATGAGGACTTTGACTTTACTATATGTACCATGCTTTTAAAAGAGTAATGGGGGGAAAAAAATCAATTTTAAAATAATCCAGGAGATAAAGAAATCAAAACGATCAGCTGTAAGTTAGGTTTAGAAGAGAAGAAAAAAAATGGATAAATTCTGAATCAACTAATAATAGTATCAACTAGAAGACAGATGTCAAAAAACCCAAAGAGAACTGGAGGAGCTCCATTAGCCGACAAAAGCACCAGGGAGGCAGCTAGCAATGCTCCCACAGCAGAGGCGTACATGGGCCGCCGCCGATAACTGAGGTTCTTCCCGAGTGGATTCCTGTGCAAAGAAGACCGACCTTTACCAATAAGAGAAGAGGGATGAAAATACTCTCTACACCGAGGTTCCCAGTGGCCAGCCAGGTCCAGTGAGGGGCACTGATGACTAAGTTTCACAACTTACAGGTATGTGAGGAAGACGAAAATGCAGTGAGGGGGCAACTCTAGCAGCTGGCAAACAAACTTAGGATTGCCTTTGGCCAGAAAGGAGAAGGTGTCGAAGAAACTCTGATACAAAACAACTCTCCTTACAAGCCCAGGAAGCATGCAAGGGTGATGGGTGGCTGCTAACAACTAAGAGAATAGCCGTCCAGACAGAAGATGGTATTTAGATTTCGCTCACAGAAACACACTCAGAAAGTTTATCAGTCTGGAAACACTCGTTTTCCAAATTCTCCCATGCCTCAATGCAAAAATATCCACATGAAGATGCATCACAAGTTTTGGTATCTCTCATAGATTACCAACAGCCCTTATAAAATTCATCTTGAGAAAAGACTTTTAAAAAAATCAACAGGCAAGCATAGATCTAGCAACACATCTCAATACACATCAGAGGAAAAAATTCCCAACTGCAGCACTGGCTCATGAGATAGTCCCATCAACTCATGAAATCATACCTGGTCAAGGTTTGTATCAGCACCTTTCATACATCAATGCGCATCTGGAGACCTGGTTAGAATTCAGACTCTGACTCAGAGTGTCTGGGATGAGGACTGAGATTCTTCGTTTCCAACCATTAGCTCTCAGGTGATGCCAATATTGCTGGCCTTCAGACCAGCCTACGGCAGTTAGACTTTCTGAAGCACAAACCACAGACATCAAATAGGCCCTCCTGTCACACACTTCCCAAGTTCCCAGTGTAGGCAATCAAGTCCCATGGAGCCACAGGGAACCTATGGGAATGTAGACAATACCCTGACCACCCCAAGTCAGCCACCATCACAGTGTTAGGTGGCATTTGGGTGTGTCGAAACTAAGTGAGTTCTGAAAAACAGGATCCATGTCAGATCATGGCCATACTCCAGGCACCGCAGCTGGCCACTAAGGCTGGCCTGCCTCCTTCCTAGAGCAGAGAGAACTCTTAAAGCATTAAGTGAGCACAAGCTCCCATCCAAGACTCTACTAAAACGATAATAATTAAAAACTCAGCACTGCAAAGAGGATAAGAGGGGAACCAGTAGTAGAAAGAGGTTCCCACAAATTATAAAAAGAGGGAAGAGCAGAACACAGAAGCCAACTGTCCAGTAGAACAGAGAAGCTTCAGGCTCGGCAGACACACAAGAACAACAAAAGAGCTCTCCTTAAAGGAAATGAATAAGGACAATCTTTCATAACCCAATTAAACTTAATTTAGTGCTAAGAAAGGGAGCAGGGAGGAGGAGGCTGTGGAAGAGGAGGAGAAGGAAGGGGATGGAGGGAGATAAACTGAATTTCCCCAGGCAGTGAGCTTGGCTGGGGAGGAAGCCCCAACCCCACAACTCCAGGCACAGAACGAGGATCTTCATAACTAACCCTGTAGTGGAGCCTGATAGCCACAAACACCAAGTTCCCAACCAGACCTGCTATTCTGGGGAAAAGATAGCAAAAGAATGAGAGACTTGGGGAAAAAAAACACATGATAAGCAAAACGAAATAGACCTTCCAAGAAATAAGATTATTTAAGGAACTAATAATTAAACAAAAAGTTATTTTCTTCAGAAAAATTCAAGATTTTGTACCCATAAAACAAGAATAAGAGAGAAGCAAATCAAAACAACAATGCGGTACCATCTCACACCAGCCAGAATGGCTATCATCAACAAATCAACAAACGACAAGAGTTGGTGAGAATGCGGAGAAAAAGGAACACTCGTGCACTGCTGGTGTAGCCACTGTGAAGAACAGTATGGAGTTTCCTCAAAAAACTGAAAATGGAACTCCCATTTGACCCAGTAATCCCACTTCTAGGAATATATCCTAAGAAACTGGGAACACCAATCAGAAAGGATATACGGTATGCACTCCTATGTTCACAGCAGCACAAACAGACTAGGTGCCCCTCAGCAGCTGTCTGGATCATGAAACTATGGTACATCTACACAATGGAATCCTATGCTACCATAAAAAATTCTCACCATTTGCAGCAACCTTTATGGAATTGGAGAACATCATGCTTAGTGAAATAAGCCAGTCAATGAAAGAAAAATACCACATGATCTCACTCATTTATGGATAATAAAGAAAATTATAACTGTTGAACAAAAAGATAGATACAGAGACAGTAAAGCAACAGACTGTCAAATTACAGCGGGAAGGTTAGGGAGAGGTGGGGGAGATAAGAGATCAACTGAAGGACTTGTATGCATGCATATAAGCATAACCAGTGGACACAAAACTCTGGGGGGGTGAGGGCACGTATGGGAGTGGGGGGGGGCAATGGTAAGATATGTACACATATAATAACAATAAAAATAGGGGGGAAAACAAATTAAAAAAATTTAAAAAATAAGTTACTAAGAAGCAACACAACTTTAAAATGCTCTTAGAAATTAAACATAGCACTTTCAGAATAAGAAAAAAATTCAGTAGAAGGGGTAAAAGAATCAGACATCTCCAAAAACAAAGATGAAAAATTTGAAACAAAAAAAGAAAAAGAAAAATAATAGGTCCCAATAGGGAGCTTTCATTAAAAAAAACAAAAGGACAAAATATCAATGAAGATAACCCAGAACTGGGAGGAGGGGGAGTCTTCAGATTCAGGTTTCACATCAACAACTCAGCAAATGTATAATAAAAGACACACACCTACACATATCCTCATAAAAATTATGAAGGAAGATGAAGAGCCTAAAATTTTCAGATAGAAAAATACATTGCCTTGCCCTAGAAAGAAAGAATTGAAATATATTAATTTTCCCAACAGCAACAATAGATGGTCAAAGATATTCAATGTCATCAAAGCTCTAAAGAAAAATTATTCAATTTAGAATTTTACATCCACCAGAGTATTAACAAGAAAAGGTGAAAAATAAAGTCACTTAGACATGAAATTTTACCTCTGTGAAAGATACTTAAAGATGCATATCAAATAAATAAGAATAAATTCTAAAAAAGAAGGCATGGGACACAAGAAATAATTGAAATAGCCAGTACTCCTATGAAAAGCGAGCCCAGGATGAGTATGCCAGAAACAATCAATCCAAATAGGAAATGAATGAGTTCTGGGAACAATGAGGCAAAAAAACCCCGGGTTACCAGTAATAGCTAGAAAACGAAAAGATTTTATTGCTGACATAATAAAGTTAAGTTTTGTCACTTAAAAAAAGAAAGAAAGAAAAAACTTTTTAGAAAGTCCAGAAAAATAAAAAATAAGATAGTCCATATAGGCGGCAAAGAAAAACATGACCAATTTCATGTAACTGATGGGGAAAGAAACAGAGATTCCATTTAATTGGGACAATGGGAATATTCTCTCTGCCTGGCATAGAGACGTAAAACTGGATCCCTATAGAGGGGAGGTAATTCTAGCACATCCTTGGGTTTGCAATGAAAAGAGGACTTTATTTATTGCTGTAGCACTGTATACCCCATATATATTTCCAACTTTTAGAATCAATCTTCAAACAAATGGTGGAAGACTTAAGAAATGGCTATATAAGAAAATTGGTTATTAAAATTGATAACATAAAAGCAGGGTTGATATGACTGAGAGGAAAGGGCAAGCAAAAGTAAGACTGGGGTGTTAATAACCATATCCATTATAATAGGAACTCAAGAAACTGTCTGAGGGTGACAGATCAAGAAAAGGAAGTTAGAGTATATATTTAGAACAAGAAAGGAGGTAGAGGGAGTAAGAGTTAAAAGCTTTTTCTTTCATAGTGGAAAGTAAATAGATGACATCCTAAATTTAAGAATTGTTAAAAATTAATGTAAGTACAATTGTTAAAGGCTCTTGCCACCTCACACCGGCAATAGGGAAATTATGCAGCCGTTTCACGGGCAGATGAGACTTGTGAGGACCGTTCAGCGGTGTACCTGAGCTTCCTCGCAGTGGTACTGAACGGGCTCCATGCTGCCCATGACAGCAGTCCCCAGGACAGACATGAGGGCCATCTTGTGATCTGATACTCTCGTTTTCTGCCAAACAACTGCCTGCGGAGAAAAGACAGGTAACTTTTAATACCTGTGGATTCACTGCATTCACCTACAGTAGCGTTTAGAAGAGATGCGTGAACAGGTGCCAGGGCCCTGGTTCTGGATTTAGTAGCTGTGTATGCTGCAGCAGAAACTGATTTCACTGCCCGTAACCTCGGTTTCCTCCTCTCCACACAATAACTAAGAATATTTACCTCCCAGAGTGCTGGGAAACCAAAATATATAATGGAGGCAGACACCTAAGGCAGTGCCCGGCACAAAACAGTTCCATTATGTGTTAATTTCCTCCCTCTTCCAACTTCAGAGCATATACTTCAGCATCTATTTAAATTACATTATTCCTCCTAATAAGCTATTATTTGATTAATGACAGACAACTATTCTATAAGGTTTCCGTAAATAGTTGAACTGGAATAATAATTTGGAATGATGCATACTTTTTAAAATTACCTTCATAATGTTATATACAGAGAACTTACAAAAAGCTTCCTGAATCTCACAAACTCAAAAAAAAGCTGAAGAATGAGCTCACATTTTTTCAGTGCAAATAGGTAGCCGGTGGTTTAAGAGAAACATGGACCAGAGTCTGGCTGTGAAGACCCTGATGTGTGTGACCTACTGTCATTTCTCCAGGTAACATGCAGTCCAGTTGTGGCCAAATCTCTTGAGAAACCGACAACACAAGCCCATTCATTCATTCAACAAACATCCCCTTAGCCCTCCCAGCTCCTGAGGAGATGTGCCAGGGCCCAGGAGACATGGCAGCAAGGTGCAGGGGGAAAAGGAGAGAAGACCGCAAAGGCAGCCACGGAGGCAGAAGCGCCCAGACAGGATGGGGCGCAGAACAAAGAAGCTTCTAACAAAGAAGTCCTATGTGACCAGTGTCACGCGAGCAAGAACAGAGATGTGGCCATCAGTACAGACTGAGGATAGGAAATGGACCTGATGTGACGTGGTGGCTGAGTGCATGTGAAGGTGAAGCACAGAAGCAGCAGGAATGGCCGGAGTCCCTGGTACAAGAACACTGCCTGGTGCCCAGCAGGGCCCAATAGACATCAATTTGATGAAGGAGTGGGGAAAAGGATACGTTTTTTCCTACAGAAAAATAACTATTGGGGTTGAAAACTAGCTCTTTGTTTTGAAAGATGAAGACTGCTGGTTGCCATACCTTAAACACATTAGGAATCATGTCTTAGTAACTAAGCAGTAATTCTGCTGTAGGAAATCCAAAGCTACCTTTGATTTTCTTTCTTTTTAAAAAAAAATATAATAGTTTTGAGATAAAATTCACACCATTACAACTCACTCGTTTTCTGTGTACAAGTCAATGGTTTTCAGTACATTTACAGAGCTGTGCAACTATCACCATAATCTAATTTTAGAATGATTTTATCACTCCAAAAAGAAAGCCTGTACCCTTATCAGTCAGTCCCATTTCTTCCTACTAAGCAATCACTAAATTACTTTCTGTCTCTATACATGTGCATACGCTGGGTGCTTCATACAGATGGAACCACACATACACGGCATTGGGGAGCGGCCTCTTTCACTAGCATGTATTCAAGGTTTACCCATGTTGTTTACCCAGAGTACTTCATTCCTTTCAATGGCTCCATGTGGCTCCATTGGGTGGACATACACAGAACTGCCTTTCATCAGATGACGGACACTGGTTTCAGCTATGATGAAGCTGCTGCTAGGAGGACTCATGTGCGAGCTTCCGTGTGCCACGCTTCATTTCCCCGGGTGTATCCCGAGGAGTGGGACTGCTAGGTAAGGCAGTCACTTTATTTTTTGAGGAACTGCCAGACTGAAACCTGCGCTGCCTGTGTGTTTGTCTTTGTAAACACCAAGAAGTGCTGCTTCTGCTATCAAGGCTGTTATTTTAAGCTCCACAGCAGCTTGTGCTTTAAGGGACAATATTCAAAATAACAGAAAGTAGGTCAAGTTCTGAATAATCTAAAACTATATTGCAGTGAAATGACCTCCCTGCCCCTGCTTCATACTTTCCATATCACAAGTTACTTTTAACAAAAAACAGTCTATAGCCCTAACCGGTTTGGCTCAGTGGATAGAGCACTGGCCTGCAGACTGAAGGGTCCCAGGTTTGATTCCGGTCAAGGGCATGTACTTTGGTTGTGGGCACATCCCCAGTAGGAGGTGTGCAGGAGGCAGCTGATCGATGTTTTTCTGTCATCGATGTTTCTATCTCTCTCCCTTCCTTTATCCTTCTCCCTTCCTCTCTGTAAAAAAAAAAAAAAAAATCAATAAAATATATATATATTTTAAAATAGTCTATAAAAACTTATTCACCAAAAAAATTTATCTTTTCAAAGCTATGCTAGCTGACACTGACATACATATATAGAAAATATACTTAAAGTAGTAAAGGAAGTATTTCAAGAAAATTTATGGTTTAAATTCCTGCTTTAAAGCCTGAGATACTTCTAATGTAAACATCATATTGTTTAGTTTTGTTGGACTGATGCCTCAGGTGAGGCCTTAGCTAGAAATCTTTGTCAATTAATAACACTGTTAGTAGTTCTGGAGCATTATTTCACAGAAGGCAATTACTGCATCAAAGGGGCTAAGTTATTTACTTATTTAATATATTTTGAGTTAATTTTTTAAAGAAATATTTTATTGATTTTTTTACAGAGAGGAAGGGAGAAGGATAGAAAGTCAGAAACATTGATCAGCTGCCTCCTGCACACCTCCTACTAGGGATGTGCCCACAACCGAGGTACATGCCCTTGACTAGAATCGAACCTGGGACCCCTCAGTCTGCAGGCCTACACTCTATCCACTGAGCCAAACGGTTTCGGCAAAAGGGGCTAATTTAGAAGCATTTTCTAAACCAGCCTTATAGTTGGGCTAGCAATAAATGACAAAGAAGTCTCCCAACAAATTTAATTTCACTAATAAACAAAAGTGATAATTAAAAATGAAGGATCTAGCCGAAACCGGTTTGGCTCAATGGATAGAGTGTCGGCTTGGGGACTGAAAGGTCCCAGGTTCGATTCCGGTCAAGGGCATGTACCTTGGTTGCGGGCATATCCCCAGTAGGGGTTGTGCAAGAGCAGCTGATCGATGACTCTCTCTCATCGATGTTTCTAACTCTCTATCTCTCTCCTTTCCTCTCTGTACAAAATCAATAAAATATATTTAAAAAATAAATAAATAAAAATAATAAATAAAATTGAAGGATCTAGAATAAACTAAGTTTTTAAATACTACATTTTCTACAGTAAATAGTTTTAATTTGCTTTCCCTACCATTTAATTAATCCTACATTATTTTCTAAAACAGATATTCTCACTTCCTGAAGTTTTCATATATTTTGCCCTTAGGCTGAAAGCTTAACATGTGCTAAAAATAAACACACATGCCCCCATATGTTTTCTATTTAGGTCACACAAAGTTGGAGGATCTCGATGTGCCAACTAAGAATCTGACTCTAGTCAGTATGATGACAGTGCAAAAAACACCTCAATCAAGAATATATTATTACATGCACACCATGTAGTTGATATATAAATATATCTTGCCACTGTGCCTACTTAACTACATGTACTATTTGAAGGAAATAAAATGAGATGAGGATTCCCAGTATTTAATTAGTACACCTCAAATGGGAAGGCACTTTGTGAATGGGGAAAGGATGCTGCAGAGATGATGCACAATTCACTAACAAAGACAATGCCAGTAAGACTGTCTGGGCAAAGGAGACTCCTTCAGTAATATGAAATAAAAAATGTACATATTGGCCTAATTATGTGATAATTATATGCATAGATGGTCTAAGACGTTTTAAATACTTCCAAGGTCTTATAAATCGATATAACTGATCAGTATATCTACTCCTGCCTATGTATTTGTTCGACTGGTTCGGAAAAGGGCAGGGCACAGCATATCATAGGGAAGATTAGTTTCTGCCACACTGGCAGTCTGACAATGATTTTAGCTACAGAAGCTTATCACTAAGACAGTGTTAAACGTTTTGATTCAGTATAAAATTATGATTATTCCATCACAACATTAATACTAGTGTTAAAGAATATCACATTCTATTAACATAGTAAATTATTATTTGATTCTTGCTAAGTAGCCTGAGACTTTTTTAAAAAAGAATTCTAATTTGGTAAAATATATTCAACATGACTCTGAACTTAAAATCTCTTATTCATACTTTTATTCTGCTTAAATTTTATTTTATTTTATATTCAGGTTTTTAATAGAGTACACATAATTACTTCCCCTGAAAGTTACAAAGAAATTGGTAACTTTACCCTTTTTTGGGGGGGAGGGGAGAGTTGCTTAAATAGCCAAGCAGTGGGAGATAAAGATGAGAGAAGTTTTTTTACTTTACTTTTTCATTTTTATTTTATTTTTTGGTTTTTGCACCATGTAAAGGTATGACTTATTTAAAAAAGAAAGTACAAATTTAAAAACATAGTCAATCTTTGCATAACTTTCAAAGGGAGATGGTAGTTACCCATTGTTTGTGATCTTTAAAACAAGAAAGAGTATTTCCCATTGCTCATCAAATCTTGTCAGAACTACATGAGGAATGTTTTCTTGTCTGGACCCTCTCATGTGCTCTTAGCGCACTGACCCGGCTTCTTCAATGACACTCTGCTAAACGCAACTGCGCCCACCTCCAACTGCCATGGGGATCACCTCACTTTGTCAGAAACACTTTATTTTACTCCCTCTTATAAATTTGCAAGAAATCCAAAATCCTATGTGAGGTAGACAAAGTCCCTTAGAACGTGGGCCAAGCAGCTCTCCCCGCCTTCCTTCTCTTCCCCACACCAGCTGAGCTTTCTCTGACCTCTGGTGACTCCCTGACCTTGCATGTCCTTTGAATGCCTTTGCCTCATCTTTCTCAAGAGCTCACCCTAAGGCCTTTCTGAACTTGACCAGAGCCTAATAACTGCCTCCAGATTACTCATACTTCTTAACACTGTTTACAGAAATTCTTCAGATCAGTTTTT